GGCACCGAATTGCCAGCTTTTACAACTCCATTTCTGGGCCCTGAGTGGTGCCTGGAAGACTCCTGGACTCCCCTAAGCAGGAACCTTGTCTCAGGATGACTCTGATGTGGCTCTCCTCTACTCTCGGATCAGTCCCAGCTACCGATGAGCCACACTACAGCTTGACCGTACCTACGTTGCCAGCTGTGTGATCCCCTCAGCTATCCCCGCAATCCTTGCCTTTGTTCCTCTTTTCTGTAAAACCCAAAGCTTGTGTCAGCCCCTGGAAGGCATCTTGGACCTCTTTATCTGTGCTTCCAGCATGACCGTGCGGACTAATGCGCCTTTCCTGCCTTTCATCACTGCTGTCTCCTGTTGGCGGCCTGGAACAGTCTGGTCTGCTGGGACCCCTGGAGCCTGGGCTGTAGCCCCAAAGTACTGCAACAGAGAGGGCTGAACTGTTGGAAGCATAACCAGCAGTACCTTGAAAACCTCTCCTGAATGACATTTCCTTGAAGATGGAAGAGTGCATAGAAGCCTAGCGGATGGTACCACTTATTTTCCCTTCCCCAGATTGTAGCTCTTCTCAGGCAGGGAATGGAATATATACATTCTAGTGGGTACAAAATGGAGTTGGTATCTGTAAATTAATGGGGTGTGGGGCAGGGTGAGTCCCACCTGCCTGAGCCCGACTGGCCAAAGGCTTCCATCCAGCCCTGGCCACAGCCACATTGTAAGGTCAGGCTCTGGCCATCACCATTTGTGGTGTCACTGAAGTCTTGAGATATATCAAGGTAGGAGGATGGCCTTGCTATCAGCTGGTAAGCTCAAAGAGGGCTCCAGAGGCTGCTGCCCCGGAAGCTTTTGTAAGGCCAAGGGAGGTGGCGAGGAAATCCTGAGAATCGAGAGGGAACCGAGGAGATGGGGTGCATGCCAAACAGCAGGTGTTCATCTGGAGGTGTAGGTTGTTGCCTTCTGAACTTGGTCCTTCCCTAGGAAGAGGCTGTCCTGGACGCCTCCTGAGCCCCCAGCCCTCCTTCACTTTCTTCTCTGCCCGTTGAAGGCAGGCTTCCGTGCAGTTCTGAGCCCCAGGACGAGTTGCGTAGGGCTTGGCCAGGGGCCCTGGAAGGCTGAGTATGAATTTTCACCAAAGTGCCGATGACTCTTACTGGTATCCAGGACTGTCAGTGTGCCAGCACTCAAGTGCTTCTGCCTTTCCCTGGAGGGTCTGTGCGAACCGAAAGGGCAGGGCTCCTAAGGAGCCCCCACACTTCCTTTAAGAGCAGAGCTCTTGTTTCCTGTTTACATCAGCGTCACCACCCCTGGGAAATGGCTGAGCAACGGCTGCAGGATGGGCGGTGGTTGAGATGGACTCAGTACCCGGAGTAGGGCTCAGGTTCTGAGCCCTTGGGATTGAAAGGAAGGGAGGAGGAGGGATGCCTGGGAGCTGGCTGAGACGGTGTGCAGAGGCAGGGCAGCCTCTTGCTGCTGCACTGTACTGTCCCAGAGCTGGCCCCCTCCCCCCAGTGCCCATCAGGGAGAGAGGGAGGGAGGAAGATTACCTGCCTGGTCCTGCTGCCAGGGCTGCTGCTGAGCAGGGTGCACAGGGGCATGTGTTGGGCACGCGAGCTGGAAGCTAGAGTGGGTGCTATTATATTCTTAATGTAGTCTGGACCATTGGGCCCACAGTAGATCAATTAGAATTAATCAGCCCATTCGCTCAGCAAATCTTTGGGTGCCTGCTATGTTCCAGGCATGGCCCAGTGTGATGGTGAGGAGGCACTCCACGGGCCCTGACAGAACACCGTGCCTGACACGTCTGATGCTTTGACCCTGTGCTCTAGTTCACAGATACTTACCGAGGTGTGCATGTGTACTCATGCGCTCCTTACAGAGCAGACCAGGGAAAGTGAGAGCGAGTAGAAATGAGTTCTAGTACTTACTTCCTCCAAGCTCTCTGCACACTGGGTTGCTTGCACCCCACCTGAGCGAGTGCGCGGTTGCTTCTGCAGGTACCTGTGTGTTTCAGACGCCACTTCACGCATTGGCCAGGGGAGGGGTCACTTTTGAGTCGGGAAGCCAGGCAGGCAGATGCTGTGCTCAGATAGTACGTGAGGCCCGCTAGGCCCACACCCCTCTTCTTCCCTGCAGCCCACCCTCCTTGGAAAGGGGCCCAGGTTCCTGGGGTGGGTGTTGAAGGTTCTCAGACTCCTGTCCTGTGTGCTATGGTAGGAGACACAGAATTCCTTCATGCTGCGTTTCTCTCAGCAACGTCTGAGATCAGCAGTCCTTTTCCCACCGGGAAGACCGGAGGTAGACCTGTGCCGAGGGTGATGAGCTTTGAGCTGGCCCTGGGCCCTACCTCCCTGAGTGGCTGCCGCCACCTCCTGCAGCAAGACTGCCTGGACATCTGCCTGATTTCCCATTCCTGAGGGGAGACCGAAGGATGCCCTCAGCACCTCTGATTCGTGTCTAGCGTGTGTTAGTTTTCTTTTGGACAGGAGCAGGTTCCAGGTCCCCGCCCCCTTCCAGGGCCACAGTGGGAGCTGCTCCTGCATCAGCTTCCTTTATCCAAGCACTACAAGTGGCTGCCTCCCCAGGTGGAAGTGTGTGGCCCACGGGCCTCCAGGGTCTCTTACTGTCTCCTCCCCTGGCCAGTGTCCTCCTGACGACAGTGCCCAGGGAGCTGGCAGACCTGCCCTGTCCCTGGCTGCGCTTTCCACCTTGCAGGAACCCACCCTTCTTGTTTGGCTCTATCTCAGCTGATGGGCGGGTGGTGGTCGCTTAGGTCTGATCAGGGGGTCTCAGCAGGCCTGGGTGGAGCCCAGGAATGTGAAATCACTTACTCAGAGGCAGGGAAAAGCTGGAAGTTCATCTCTCTCTCAAGTTCATCTCTCTCTCTCAAGTTCATATCTCTCTCTGTCTCTAGTTCATCTCTCTCTCTCTCTCTCTCTTTCTCTCTCATCTCTCTCATCTCTCTCTCTCGTTCATCTCTCTTCCTTGGGCTCTTATGCATTTCTTACTTTTACTGCAGTCACCCTAAAGTCTTGGTAATAACAGCAGCCAGCAGCTCCTCATAAGAGGTCTCTATCTCCAACTACTTTTCGCCTCAGGGTCCCTCTCTTCCCTCTTGCTGCAGAGCCGGGCTGCCTGCCCTTTCCTGCTGAGGACCCAGCAGCCTTTGTGAGTCTCCTTGACAACAGGAAAGAGAAGTTAAAAATAACCTTTGCCGGATTTCTGTGCTGGAGTGAGGGCCCTTTGCCTCTGTGTGAGCTCAGGTCCTGTGGCTTTCAGATGTGCCTGGGGTGCAGCCCTGGGAACCTCGCTGGGCCCAGGCCCATGGGTTTTGAACTCGAGGTTTAGGGTCAGAGTAGCTGCTCCTGCACCTTCTTACCTGGAAACCTGTGGCAGCTGTGGGCAGTGGTGTAAATGTTACAGTGGAAGATGGAAAGTTGCCCCGAATGCCTGGTCTCTGGGGCTCCTAATGGGGAGGCAGTCCTGGCCGGGCTGCTGTGTTTCAGCACCTCGGGGGAGGTGGAGTAGGACGCAGCCCTGGGTGGAGCTGGGTTCTCTCCTCAGGGGCCCTTTCATGAGGTAAGGAGGGAGGGGAGGACACAGGCACTTGGGTCATTTGTCCACAGCCACTGAGCCCTGCTGGGAGACCATCTGTACCAGCCCCTTGCTGAAGCCGGTTGTTTCTTGCATCAGCTGCCACTCAGCCCTCTCTGTCACGGTCTCATCATGGGGCTGGGTCTGTGCTCACCGCTCTGTGGAGTTTTCTCCTTCCCGTCCGTCCTCAGCCAGCATTTGCCGTGGGCCAGGCTTGGAGGAATAAGGAGCGCAAGAGGCCAGGTCCTGTCTGTGGGGAGTGGGGTCTGCAGGAGACAATTGGAAGAGCCCCCATCGTGCTGAAGGGGGAGGGTGAGAGCTGGGAGGGCACAGAAGAAATGTGACAGATTAATAAAAAAAATGACCAGTTGTTTGACAAACACTTCATGAAGGAAGATATCGAAATGGCTAATAAACATGTACTAGTGAAAAAAAAAAAAACAAAAAACAAAAAACAAAAAAAAAAAAACATGTACTAGTGCTCAATTTCCTGTTAGTCATTAGGGACATTCAGATTCAGTTCATCTTAAAAAATGTGACTGTTGTTGGGCGTGGTGGCATGAGCCTGTAATTCTAGCACTCAGGAGCTGAGGCAGGAGGGTCACTGTGAGTTCGAGGCCAGCCTGAACTGCATAGTGAGACCCTGTCTCAAACAAAAACGTGACTGTTTCTGCATTTATACACATATTTAACAAAATCTTCTAAGATGTGGTAAAACACCCTGTTGTCATTTCTTGTTTCCTACTGGAGAATAGAATGGATCCCAAAATGCTTAAATAAAAGAAAACTCAGTAGGATGAACATGATGAAGCCAGATCTGGGTTCATGTGGGACCCTGGCCAGACATTTAACTTCCCGTAGCGCCTGTTCCTGATCTCCCTTTCCCCACTACTGCTCTCAAGGCACCAGACTGAGGGGACTCGAACTCCTAAGTGGTGGTTTGTTCTCCCTGATTCTAGGTGATCTGAGTTTTTCCTCCACCCCTCTCACAGTAGCTGTTCTAAATCCTCAGAGAAATGAAAGAGCTGAGAAGGGGATGGTTCCTAGGATTCGGGAGAGCCCGTTGCTAATCACTTGGGATAGAGTCTGCAGCTGGCATGGCTGTGTCCTCCCTCCCAGGCTGGTGGCAGGGTCCATTCCTGCAGATGTTTCCTTCCTGGCTGTGGCCCAGGCTGCAGCTCTGTGAGTGACATTGAGGGTCTGCCAGCACCTAGGATACAGGCACGAATCAGTCCTGGCTCAGGCATAGACTTGAATGAGCCAGAGGTCTGGCTGCCACCGTGCCTGCAGTGGCCTTACAGGCTGCTCTTATAAAGTGCACAGGTCATACTGTGGACTTTGGGGCATGATCTATATCCCTGGCCTTACCTGGTGTTTCTGACCTTTTCTCCTTCTGTGTTTCCGCCATGTAGGAGTTGGAGTCAGAAGCAAAGGTTGATGGAGAGGCTGCATCAGACAGTGAGAGCCGAGCGGACCTGGTTGCCCCGCCAGCCCCCGTGGACAACACCCCGGAAGTCCTCAATAGGGCCCTTTCCAACTTGTCTTCAAGGTAACCTGGCTTCGTGCTGCAGGTGCTTGTGGGGCCATGTGTTGTGATCAAGTGCATGGAAGATTTAGTGTCTTAGGGTTTCTGGTTCAAGGTATAGTTTTCACTCTTCTGCAGGCCTCCTCTCTGAATGGTTCCTCAGTTCTCCAGGAAGAACTGGGCAACATCTTGACTTAGGCTAACCCAGGGGACAGACAGGCAGTTCTCTAGCAGCAGGTCCTTCTCACACCTGCTGTGTGGTGTGACCCTATGCGTCCTGAGCCCGGTCCTCTGGGAGGCTGTGTTGTATAGGGGGAAAGGGCAGGCAGTGGGGAGCAGACTCCTATGTTTGAATCCTGGCCTCACTGTTTGCTAGAGACGTGACCGGTGCCTCTGTATCCTCAGGGAGGTGTGTATGGGTATCATGTGAATGAAAACCTATTTAAAATGACAGAGTTTAAGAGCCAGTCGTGTTGCGGGTTGAATGAGTTAGTGTGTGTGAAGTCCTTAAACATATTTGTGATCACTGTTGTTGTCTTTGCCTATCATGTATCATCACGGTGAAGATGCAGGCAGCGCAGTGTAAAATCCCACCGTGGAAAAGTGCTCCTGGTCTCCTCTTAAGACACACATGGCCAGGGGAACCCTTTGAGCCAGGCAGCAGCAGGGGTGCTACATCACCCGGGCTGTGGTTTTCCCTGGTGCTGTCTTTAAGATGCAGCAGGTGTATTTCTGTAGGTGGTGGAGCAGCTGCTGAGTTTGCTGTGGGGGCGCCTTGGTGCTGGTGCCCCGCTTCCTTCTGTCCACAGCGGTGCCCCTGTGCCGGTGAGGTGGGGCTCTGAGAAGGACTGCGGTCAGGGCCTGCAGATCAGGAAGAGGCAGTCCCCTCGGGTCTGCTTCTGCTCCTCTTAGGCTGCTAACTGCGTTCTCCTTCCCCTGCTTTTGCAGATGGAAGAACTGGTGGGTGAGAGGCATCCTGACTTTGGCCATGATCACTTTTTTCTTCATCATCATTTACCTGGGACCAATGGTTTTAATGATGATCGTAAGTGCTGTCTGCCTGCCTGTTTCCTTTTGCTGTCAGTTCTTCCATGGGACTGGCAGTCATCAGTGCCAGGGAGTGGGAATCCAAGGGCTCCTGTCCCCTAGGCCGGTTGTTTGTAGTTAAGGAGGTCTCTTCATTTTTAAAAGTGAATTTGTTATTGTAGATGTTTAAGCTATGGCCCTGCATGTATCTTTGTTGACTCCTGGTTTTGTGTCTTTTTCCCTGGGGTCTCACTCGTAGGTTTAGAGTTGTCATTAGGAAGTCACTGTCCACAGAGCTGCCCTCTATCTTCCCGCCGTCACAGACAGGGCCAGGCCACCCCAGCTGACTGCGGAGTGGAGTAGTTGGGCCTTTCACATATTTATATCCAGAGTCTCAAGGGGAAAGGGCTGCCAGGCATGGTGGTGCATGCTTGTAATCCCAGCACTCTGGGAGGCTGCGGCAGGGAGGGTCACAAGTTCAAGCCCAGCGTGGGCAACTTGAGGAAAGCCTTAAAATTAAGAAAAAAAAAAAAAAAAAGAAAGGAAAGGGCTGGAATATAGGTCATTGCGAAGGCCCTGCGTTGAATCCCCCAGTAAAAAAAGAAGGGGGGTGTTGGTTGAGTCTTTCAAGGCTCTAGAATAAAAAGTTAATCAGACGAGAGGGCTGTGTACCTTATTGTGAGAAATTGGATCTGGCCCCCTGTGACATAAAGGACTCCATTGCCATAGGGGGTGATGTGAAAGAGAGAGAAGGTGGAGGAGAACACAGTCTCAGAGTAGGACTCAAATTTTTCTTAACTATAATGGTTTTTCTTAAAGGCCCATGACCTGATTGGCTTCTGGTTCCAAAGATCATAAGACTGCTCTGATTCCTCCCTGTCTTGCAGGTGATGTGTGTTCAGATTAAGTGTTTCCATGAGATCATCACTATTGGCTACAATGTCTACCACTCCTATGACTTGCCCTGGTTCAGGACCCTCAGCTGGTAAGCTGCCTGGCTACCTGTCGTGGTGCGTGCTCTGTGGCAGGTGTTTGCAGGGATGCTGGGCAGAGGTGCAGTGGCTGCACAGAAATGCACAGTGCCGCTGAGCAGGCCGGACTGTGTGGCTGCCTTTGAGGAGTCTTCAGTACTGGCTAGGAGGCAGGGAGGGGCTGTGTCTGTGAGCAGTGAACCTTGGTACTTGGAATCCATAGACTTCCAGAGTAAGGCTGGTGCTCGGCCCTCCTTCCCTTCTAGAGCTGTATTGCATGCTGTATTGCCCCCACATCCCACTAGAACTGTCTGGGGTTGTCAGGTTTTGGTGCTGGGGTTGCTGTCTGGAGAAGGCAGTTTCCTCATTGCTGAAACACCTGGTTGAAATTCAGCTGTCACTTTTCGACCATGGGGCCGGAGCCCTAGTTCTTTGGAGGTGCCCAGGTGCCAGTGTGAGCAGGATGAGACTAAAAGCACAGATGTGGGCTCCTCTGGAGAAGCTCTGCTTTCTCCTTCCCTCAAAAAGGGCTTAGTGCTGTAAAGCAAAGTCAAGGGAAGAGCCCTGACTGCGGTGGGATCTGAGAGCCCTTCCTGGATCCGTTCTGTGGGCCACACTGCTTTCGGATGGTGACATCTGAGCGGATCACTGCACAGTGCTGAGGAGACTCGGGGCACACAGAGACCTTCCCACCCCACGTGCTTGACTGTGTTATAAATTTTGTTAACACTCAGGAGGCCTGACCCCTGGCTATGGTCACTTTCCAAAGGAAGAGGTACCTTTGTTACCCCCCACAACAGAATAAACCCAATAGGGGAGTTTTAAAACTTAATGATTTCAAAAAATGGGAATGAGAAGTTTTCTGTTCTCTTCCCTGCCTTGGGATTCGTGTCGGGGGCCTGGGGTGGCACTGCAGGGTCCTGCACCGGCAGCACCATGGATGCTGCGGGGCTGTGTGAGCCGTGGCTTCTCCCCTTGGGAGACTCCATTGGAGAGAGGATGAAACAGGTGCAGGGTAACTTGGTGAAAGGCTCCCGGCAGAGCCAGGCTTCAGGGAGGGCGAAGTCCTGCTGTAGAGGAAATGTGGGGTGGTAGAGTGTGTTAGGTCCTGGGAAGTTCTATGAAGAAAATGGTATTTGAGTGCTGAGTGGGGAAAAGGGTGAGCAGAGAGGATGTTCCAGGCCAGCCAGAGGCAGCAATGGAGCAGATGGGAGGCAAGGCGGAGTGGACCTGGGGCTAGGATGGGAGATCCCGAGGGAAGAGGGGGATGGGCCTGAGGATGAAGGCGCAGGGGCTGTGTTTGGGAGGGCCCTCAGTTGAGGTGTGGGACACCACCTAACGGGTGAAAACTGAGTCCCAGGTGTGTGACACAGGAAGTGTGAAAGCTACCCAGCTTTCTGGATTGATTTCCCGTGCAGAGAGCCGCCCCGGAGCGGGGAGCTGAGGTCCGCTAGGCCCTTGCACGTTGCCCTGGGCTCTTGAGGTGGAGTGGCCTCTGCCCTCTATTTGTCCTTGGGCTGTGTGGTGGCCTTGCCTAGAGGAGAGCCTGTGCGCTCCCCCAAGGGTGCCCCGTCTCCACCTCCAGGTACTTCCTGCTGTGCGTGAACTATTTCTTCTATGGAGAGACGGTGACGGATTACTTCTTCACCCTGGTCCAGAGAGAAGAGCCTTTGCGGATTCTCAGTAAATACCACCGGTTCATTTCCTTCACCCTCTACCTAACAGGTGTGCATCGAGTGCTTCTCCATTTCTTATGTCTGTATTGTTCTTGTTTGTTGAGTAGGAGTTGAAGAGTTTTGTTTGTTTGTTTCTCGAGATGGAGTCTCACTACGTAGTTCAGACTGGCCTCTAACTCACAGCAATCCTGGGAGAGTTGAGGAGTTTTTCTGTCAAAGTTTTGTGATGTTAACTCTGACCAAGCAGGGAGTGAGCTGGCAGCTTTGTTTTATGTTGAGCTGTAGCAGCTACCCCACCGTGCAGTATTGGTGATTGAATCCAAGACCTTCATGCTGAGCCATATCCCCAGCCCTCCTTTATTTTTTATTTTGAGACAGGGTCTGACAAAGTTGCTAAATTGCCTCAGCTGGACTCAAATTTGTGATCTTCCTGCCTCAGCTTTCCAGAGTGCTGGGATTACAAGTGTGCGCCTCTGCACCTGGCTCTGTAGTAACTCTTTACTAAGAGAATTGGAGACTGAGGGGTACAGGTGTGGAGCCTAGCCATCTGTGTCACCTGTCCTTGAGTTCCCACCACCCTAGGAGGACAGCAGAGCATGATCCTGTCCTGACTCTCTTATTGGAAAAATGTGACCAGAGGAAAACAGTCCTGGCCGGGGCAGTCTTTGGCGGAGTGCTTCTAGGAGGCAGCCTTGAGAGACCTTGCAGAGGGCTGGACGTTTTTGCTGGATTTGGATTTGAAAAGACTGTGTGACCTCAGGGGAAGAGGAACTTAATCTTTCTAAGTCTTAGCTCTTTTGTAATCTAGAGCTGAAACCAGCAGGGGTATTGTGATAGTTTCCTCTTTGATTACTTATCTGGATCATTCTTTTTCTTCTCTGGGCTTGGAAATTATGCCCTGGTTAACTGCTGTGAAGACATGAGTGAAAGGACTGCTTAACATAGCTAAAGGAAAGGAGTAGCAGAAAGATGTAATGCAGCGCGTGATTCACTCACCTTCTCTTTCCTCACACCAGGATTCTGCATGTTTGTACTGAGCCTGGTCAAGAAACATTATCGACTGCAATTCTACATGGTAAGGAAATTGTGTGTGTGATTTTTGGTTGACGTGAAAGTCTGCAGAGGCTCAGCAGGCCTTTCATGCTTTCTGTGACAAATCAGAGCTCCAGGGAGCGGCCTGTTCTGTGTGCACCTCGAAACTAGAGCAGGAAGAAAGAGTGCCCGTGTAGGCTGCAGCCCTCCATCCCTCCATCCCTCCATCCCTCCATCCCTCCATCCCTCCATCCCTCCATCCCTCCATCCCTCCAGACCCAGTCTCTGCTACCTCCTTCTCCCTGAGCAGCCTCCACCAGGTGGCTCCAACGAGGTGGCTGCAGCTTCAGACACTGTGGCAGACTGGTTGATCAGCTGGTGATGCTCAGTCCCTGCTTCAGCTTAAGAACATCTCTCTACTAAGGAAATAAAGATCACCCAGGCTTCAGAGCACACAGGGACTCAGGAGTGGGCTGCACAGTCCCTGCTTTTGACGGATTCTTATTGGGGAGAACACAGATCACTACTCCTGGAGTCTGTTTGGTACTTCCTCACTTCCAATAAGTGAGGCACAACAGCAGATGTTTTTCCTATTTCTCAGCACCTTTCTGTTTGTTACTGATTATTTGAAGTTAACGCCAAGGTAAACTTGATAGGTAGAATTTGTTTTTCTCCCTTTGCAGTTTGGCTGGACCCATGTAACACTACTGATTGTTGTAACCCAGTCACATCTCGTTATCCACAACCTGTTTGAAGGAATGATCTGGTGAGTGATGGCTGTGGCAGGACTTTCCTTTTCCTGTGTGGGTGTTTCTTGTGTACAGGTGGGTGGAGAACTCCAGTTTATCTTCAGAACCAGTGGTTCTCACTGTGAGCCTGCAGCATTACCTGCAGGCTGGGTACCATATGCGCAGCTGGTTTGAAGGTCCAGGTGGGGTCTGAAGCCCCTAATTTCAAGTACGTTCCCAGTGGTGCTGGTGCTGCTGGCCAGGACCCACACTCAGAGAATCTCACAGTGCCGCTGATGGCAAGAGATGCGACAGCCTTGAGGACAGGAGCCTGAGCTAGCAGTTATAAACTGCTGACAGTCAAAAAGGAACACATTTGAATAGATCAATAGCTCTAGAAGAGCTTTAAAAATTGTATGAATTTTACACCTGGAAAAAGAAACAGGACTCACTGGAAGCTGAGTGCTGTCTAAACCTTACACCAAAACTGATAGGGAGGGAAACAGACTTCCTTTCTGGTTGCAGGTAAACCATTCTAAGTAAAATACCAGCATAGACAATCTGGCAGTGTGTCTCAAGAGCATTGCACTGTCACTTCAGCAATGTGTGGTTTCAGTGGGACATTTGTCAGCATTGATAGATATCAGCAGGCTGATGAGGAGGCTAGATGACCATAGTGGAAAGACAAAGGCACCTCCTGGTGTAATAAGAGGAAGGCAGTGAGTCTTGCGGGTCGTGTTCCAGATCACCTGTCTTATACCTGAGCTAGGTTATAGCAACACCCACCTTCTAAAGAGTCAGCTAGTAAATAGACTGAGAGATTAGCTCCAATAGCTGTTAGGCTTAGGCATTATACATTTAAAACATTTATAATGGCCTGGGGAGACACCAAGCACTTCCCTTTCTGTCAGTTTTTTTATTGGTATTTAATTTTCTACTTCTCCTTCCTCTTCTCCCCTTTTCCCCCTCCACCCCGCTTTTCCTCCAGGCAGACACTCAGCCACTGAGCCACATCCCAGCCCTTGTTGGGTATTTCTTAAAAGTGCCACATGCAAAGTCCTTAAATTCAGGGCCAAACACACCCTTGGTTCTGTAGTGACTCATATTAGCATGTCTAAGGGAGACTTCAGCATAATTAGAGAGCGGACTCTGCCAGAAGCCTTGATGGAGTAAGTAGTGTGGGAGGGAGAGCGTGAGCAGAGGGTACCAGTGATCAAAATCCCCCCTCCAACAGGAAGTCAGGAAATGCCGCCTGTAGTTGCTGGGCCAGGAAGTCAAGACTTTCGTGTATTGTGTTAACTGTGATAAGAGAGCTTCTAAAAGTGCCCGGGTAGAGTGAGGAAAGGAGAGCGGGCACAAGTATGGTGCGAGTGAAGGGTCGGCTGGGGAGGTGACAAGCGTGGCTGTGCCTGTGGGGCTGTTGCTCCCAGGGTCGTCTTAAGGAAAGGTGGGGTGCGCTGGTGGAAAGAGCCATAAATAGTAAAAAAGTTTGTTTTGAAATAGATATAAAATATATCATTTAGCAATGTGTAAGAAGCTAGTAGAAGAAAAATGAGAAGTGATCGGAAGTGGTTATTTTGGAGGCAGGCTCGGGGAAAGAAGGAAAACGTAGTTTTTTTCTGCCTTTTATAGTTTATATTCATATTACCACATGCATATGTTACTTTCTGATGATGCAAGGACACAGGGCGTTTATGAGGTGCTCCCTCTGCCCACTTAGTGACCACTCAGGAGACACCCGAGTGCCTGCTGTGTGGCAGGGGCTAAGGACAGCTTCTTTGTGTGCTCTTTTTAGCTTAGTTGAGTGGGTTCCAAGCATGCTGTGGCTTGTTTGGTACTGGAATTTATGAAAGGCCTTGTTCACTGGACTTCTGAGGTTCTGTCCTCTCAGGAGAGTTGACCCCGTTTGATTTATTTCCTAGGTTCATTGTCCCCATTTCCTGTGTGATCTGCAACGACATCATGGCCTATATGTTTGGCTTTTTCTTTGGTCGGACGCCACTCATCAAGGTGAGGAAGTTGCCCTCACATGCAGTGTCACTGTGGGGGAGGGGAGTACTTTCTGCATGCATAGCTGAGTGTGGCAGACAGAGAAGAAATCCAGCTGTGTGTACTGTGGCCGTGTTTTCATGTCATCCAGGAGACAGACTGGTAGTAAATTAATCGTAGAGAAAAGCCATAGGGAAATACTGAAAGCTACAGGTAGTCTTCTATAAAAAGAAAAAATATCTAAGTGGCCCTGGTGGCACAAGCCTGTAATCCCAGATACTTGAGAGGCTGAGGCAGGAGGATTCCAAGTTCAAGGCCAGCCTGGGCAGCTTATCAAGATCCTATCTTGGAAGAACAAAATAAAAAGAGCTGGGGATGTCGCTCAGTGGTGAGCACTCCTGAGTTTGGTCCTCAGTATAGGCAGTGTATGCTATCTGCACACTTCGGGGTTTGATCTGGATTTGGGTATTGTCATTGAATTAGTATATAGTTTTTTTTGTTTTGTTTTGGTCTTTTTGAGACAGGGTCTCACTATGCAGTTCAGACTGGCCCTGAGCTCACTTTGTAGTCCAGACTGGTCTTGAACTTGGAATGATCCTCCTGCCTCAGCCTCCTGAGTTTTATATAGTTTTATAATATAATAAAAATAAATTGAATAACCAATTGAAAGAGAAAGAAAACTGAAGTGTATAAGCTAGGGAAGAAGCACACCATGTTTGACGAATACACAAGGTGAGGTTAGTAGAATGGGGGTTTTATGATACTGATGTTTTTCATAAGAAATCATTGTTCCCAAAAGCCAGAGGGATGAAGCACCCTTTGTTGAGAACGTGTGTCTGTCCACAGCTTTCTCCTAAGAAGACCTGGGAAGGCTTCATCGGGGGCTTCTTTGCTACTGTGGTGTTTGGCCTTCTGGTAGGTGCTGGCCCCCAGGTGGGTGGGGGAGTGGACAGAGGTCTCACACCACCATCAAAGGCCCTCGTGTCCCGGGACCAGGGAATTTGTCCTCCCAAATAGTGACCTTGCTCCAGAGGGTGGCACGAGTGTAGCGAGCAGCACTGGCTGGCCTTCATCTACCAGTTTCCAAGCAGGTCCTGACAGCTGAGGAGCAGGGAGTGTGCACGGCTTGTGTGTGCTTTTGGGCGTAGCCAAGGCAACACCAACAGACATATAGTGTTTCAAGGTCAGGCTGTGTGGTGCCTGAGAATAAGGGTGAGGTGGGATGATTGTCCTTCCAGAGGAGACTGTCTTCCAGCCCTTTGGAGCACACCATTTGCTGTCCTGGTCCTCAGCTGGTCCCCCTTTGCCAGTGTTGTGCTGCCCCCACCTTTACTGCAGTGCAGCCCCCACCTTTACTGCAGTGCAGCCTTCTTCCTCCTGAGCGGCCGCCTCTCTCTGTGCCTCTTGCTCCCTGTGATGGCCTGCACTGAGCTCAGAGAGCCTGAGCAGGGTGGACCGGACTCCCTGAGATGGAAGCGGTGCCTCAGAGTTCCCTGCCCACATTCTCTCAGCTCCCTCCTGGGCTTGTTCAGGCCCTGTGTGTGTATTTGGCACATTTTTATGAGATGCAGTAGGGCACAAACCTGCCTCTTTCGCTTAAAAAATTCAGATAAAATACACATGGTGCACATGAGCCTGTGACTTAGTGTGCAGCTCGCAGTGAGCAGGAGGCCAGTACTGTGAGTGAGGCGGCGCCGAAGCCGCTGTCCGGGCTGCTTGGCTGCAGCGTTCTCCTGGCTGCCTCTGTTCTTTCCCTCAGCTGTCCTACGTGATGTCAGGGTACAGATGCTTTGTCTGTCCCGTGGAGTACAACAACGACACCAACAGCTTCACTGTGGACTGCGAGCCCTCGGACCTGTTCCGCCTGCAGGAGTACAACATTCCTGGGGTGATCCAGTCGGTTGTTGGCTGGGTATGTGGCACTTACATAGGGGACGGGGACAGCAGAGTGGAGACCCTCCACCAGCACTTGGCCGCAGTGCTGTCAGCCCCAGCGTGAAGGGGAACACTGCAAGCTGGGTCAGGTTGAGGGCTGGAGGAGACCTTTGGACCTTTCACGTCATTTGGACCAGTGGTTCTCAGAACGTGTTTTGTGAGATCCCTGTAGAGGGGTCTGTGAAGTCCCAGCTGTTTTCCCAATAATACTGTGACCTTTTGTGCTGTTGTCCCTGCTGACAGTTGCTGTGATGGTGCAGCAGGGAAAAGTGATCCTTGGACACGAGTGGGGGCGGCAGCACCCCCTGGACTGGCAGCAGCGTCCTCTTCATGTCGTGCCTGCCGTGCAGATGTGCCAGCTGCTCTTAGCAGTGTCTTTGAAAAAGTAAAAATGCTGATTGTATTAAATCCTGACTGTTACGTACATGCCATTTGAATCCCACGTGTACTGAAACGGAAAGCATGCATAAACATTCCCACTAAATACTGAAGTACAGTTCGTGCAGCTGAGTTGTGATCTAAAGTAACTGTTTTTTTTTCTTCTTCTTCTAAGAACATAACTTTTATTTGAAAAGAACTGACCAGTTTTTCAGACTTGGGCATTTTGCAGGCACTTTTTTTTGAAAAGAACGAAATGAGTCTGTCACTTTAAGGAAAGTGACTGACAGCAGGTGTTACCAGTGATAAAATACGGGTTCCAAGTGAAAATTAGAATTTTGGAAAGTGTGTACCTGCTGCTGTGAGCTTGACAGTTTCCTAATCCTTAAAGGCTTTCCTGATGAGATCTGTGGTGTTATTAGCAGGGGATCGTGTATAATGAAGTGTGTTTACATTTGGGAGATGTGCATAACTTGGTGAATAGGTGTTTTTTAAAACATCAGTGCATATTGTTCCACAGTCATGCATGGGTAAAAGATCTGTTCAAAGTGTCATATAAATCAATGGGTTTTAATGCGGGAGAGCGCAGAAAGCTCATTGGTAGGATTTCAGCTTTCACGTGGCTTGCAACTCTTAATAAACCTGTCCATTGCTGGTGTTGTGTCAAATAAGAATACCTATGAATTTTGAGAAGATGCTCTTCCTTCCAATACTCCATTTCTGTAGAAGACTGGATCTTCTTCATATACTTCCACCAAAACAACATATAGCAACAGGTTGAGTGAATAGTATCTTAACGTCTTCTATTAAGTTGGGTGTTAGATTTGAAAGAACAGGAGGAAATATACTCTCCTTACTGATTTACAAAAACACATAAAATTGGTTTGATCAGAGTTATTTCTGTTCACATGTAATACGCTGGACTTGTGCACACCTTGACTTGACTTCATTTGCTCTTCCTAGAAAACAATTCGGATGTACCCCTTCCAGATCCACAGCATTGCCCTCTCCACCTTCGCCTCACTCATAGGCCCCTTTGGAGGCTTCTTCGCGAGCGGCTTCAAGCGAGCCTTTAAAATCAAGGTAGGGGAGCCTTCTTGGGTCCCCCATCTTCTGCCCCCACTCCACCCCATTGGCCACCAACCTCTGTCTTCCAGGCTGTGTTCCCTGAGCATTTCAGTGTGCTCTTCTTGACCCATGTGCTGGATTTAGGCTGGTTAGATAAAAGTATGTTGTTCCCAAGAAAATTCAGTGGTTGGGTTTCACTTTATTAATATTTGTTTCTTCAAAAGGATGTATTGTAATCTATTAAGAATATGTCCTGAGCTGGGCATGGGGGCACGCACCTGTGATCTCAGCACTCAGGAGGCTGAGGGAGGAGAATCACTGTGAGTTCGAGGCCAGTCTGAGCTACAGAGTGATACCTTGCCTCAAACAAACAGAAACAAACAAGAAAAAAAAGAAAGAGAAAGAATGTGTCCCCTGATAGCCTGTGATGCAGGCTTTTTTTCTGCCGCCCTTAGCTATCCAGCACAGGAGCTGGCTGTTGGCTTGGGACCTGTAGGCTGGGATTTGGTTGTTGGTTGAGCCCGAGCTCACACATCCTTCCTCGGCCTCTAATAGGATTTTGCCAATACCATCCCTGGCCATGGAGGCATCATGGATCGCTTTGACTGCCAGTACTTGATGGCTACTTTCGTCAACGTGTACATCGCCAGTTTTATCAGGTACGGTGCCTTTCCATCTTTACCAAGTTGGTAGGTTTTTTAAGTATGGCACAATTCTGGAATTTTGGCTCCATACAAGTTTCAATGAAAAGCACCTCAGATGTGAACACAGTTCTCAGTTGTTACTGGCCGTGGGTCCTCTGAGGCCCTGGACCTCACTCCATGAGTAGAGAATCCAGAGGTCAAAGCAGCTGCTCGGGGAATCCGGCCTTGGAAGCAGTTGGGCCTGCTCAAGCCCGTGTCTTCAATTTTGTTGCAGGGGCCCTAACCCAAGCAAACTGATTCAGCAGTTCCTGACCTTGCGGCCAGATCAGCAGCTCCACATCTTCAACACGCTCAAGTCTCACCTGATGGACAAGGGGATCCTGACAGCTGCCACAGAGGACGAGTAGGGGCCGCCTGGGGCGGAGCGCAGGGGCAGGACTAAGGCAGGGGCAGGTCTCCGAGGCAAGCCTAGCTGCTGTGACTTAGCAACAAGCTTCAACTCACCGGCTTTTCTTTTCTTCTTTTTTTTGGGTAGTGTTTTTTTATTTGTGGGTTTTAAAAAGAATTTGTATATACAGTCTGTTTTTGGTTTGAGTTGTGAGTAATCTGTAGCTCTGAGTTGGAAAGAAGTCACAGGGGTTTACATTTGAAGTTTTTAAACAGCTGAATTATTGAACAACCTGGATGACAGTGTTGCCCAGCTCAGGATGCCTACTTCGTGGTTCCAGCCCTGTCCATAGAATATTTCTGTGCCCTGGTGGTGGACAGTGCTCTGTACCCAACCTACGCAGGGGCCTCTCCCACCTGGGTGGGGGTGCTGACTGCTCCTCGGGGACTTCTCAAGCAACCCTTGCTAGGAGCTGTAGAGGGCAGCTTTCTGCAGGCCCGGAGGGAGGGAAGGATGGAGGCTCTGGTCAGGTGAGCATCGCATCCACAGCAGAATCCTGCAGGGGGTACGTGAGCTGTGCTTCATAGCATGGGCTCACCTTACGTCGTCACAGATGGAAAGGTTGCGGTTTTTATTTTTTCAGAAAGCACGAAAAGTTATTTATAATAATCTGGATAAAAAACCACACTGTAATATTTCAAATGTATGCAGTAGCACGCACTGTATCCGAGCCCTTTCCCACGGAGTAGGCTCCAGTTTCTCCTAGTGGGCAGTCCGGTGAGCCACGTCTTTTCAGGGATGAGGCCATGGCGTTTGTGCTGTAGACTTAGACTTGCTGCTGCTGAATGGCGGGGTGGGGACCCCGCAGGCAGGGAGCAGGGAGCAGGGGGCTTTCGGTTCATGTAGCCTTCGCTGAATGCCCACATAGCTGCTGTATTGTGTATGCATTACTCTTAAGGTGAGAGTGTGCCTGTCTGTGTTTTAAAAGTCACTTCTTCCTTACGGTGATTTCACTTATACCATGACTAGTTCGCTGGAAACCACAAAATTCTGCTTAAACCTATGGCAAACCTAACCTGATGGAGGCTTGATTATTCTGAAGATTAAATGTATACTTTTTATATCATGTGACCAGTTTAACTGTAATGCGTGTTGTACTGGGGGACCTTTTTTGGTTGTTTGTGTAAACTGTGATTTACTTTTCCCCTCCTGGTTACGAGAGTGAGGTTGACTTGGGGAAGACGGATGAGCTCTCAGTCAGGTCAGCCCAGCGAGGCTCAAGCACAGGAGGGAGGACTCGGTGCCAGGGTGCCGGACCATTCCACGCCCTGCTCATTGTCATCCCCAGCAAGGGCGTAATTGCACCAGCACCTTGTCTGGCGCTGTTCTGTGGTGTTTGTTTTTAAATTGGCCACGCTGCCTCCCTAAAACCTCACAGCCCAAACGGCCACAGGGTCCACTGGGGACAGAGCCCCTGTCACTGCGCAGCCTCCCCCATGGGTGTGAGGCAGAAGCAGTGTCTCTCTCAACCTGCACGTCCATTCTAGCCCCGGGCTTTCCGTTTTCAGGCCCAAGGCCCTGTCAGTGCTGTGCTGCGGGTTTCAGTTCCCGCAGCATGGCCCTGGGCAGGAAGCCTCCCTCTCAGAGTCCTCTGCACGGTCTTCTAATTGCGCCACTCCCCGATTGCCCCGGAGTCTCCTTCGGATGCTGAGTCGTGTCCCAGGCACCCGGAAGCAAGTGCTTTCAGGCCTTGTCCGAGATGATTCACGTCTCCAGTCTTCAGCAGTGATCAGGAGTGTGGCTGTCGTTTCCTGTCTGGAATGAGCTTGGCTCCAGGAGGGCACCTCATTTGTCTCCCGCCACCCCATTGTGCGGCTCTTGAGCACAGAGGTGTGGTGAGCAGAGCCCACTCTGCAGCAGGGCCACCTGGGGCTGCTGCCTTGTGGACGCAGCCACTGCTGGGGCTCTGAGAAGCGGAAGCTGGGTGCTCCCTAGAGCCGCCAGCAAGAGGCCTGAGGGGCGGTGTGGGCTGTTTTTCTGTCTGTCTATTTCCTTGATTTCCTGGAGTGCAGAGTTTCCCAGTCAGGTAGCCAGGAAAGCAGTGCCACCTTGTATCTTGACAGCAGTGTTTCTCCCACTTACAGAGCAGGTTCCAGAGACTCCTTAATGTGCACCCGTGCAGATCTTAATGATTTGCATAACTTGCTATAGACCCATTGTTTTATTATTTTTTGTTGGAAATAAAACGTGACCAAAATCATGCTCACCCCTGTCATGAATTCAGTGTTTGTCACTTCCGTGTCTGGCTTGCTCTTTCCCACTTGCTGATGTGTTCATAAGGGTGGTATAGTCCTGATGTAGAGATTTCTGTTTCATTTTCTGGTTTGTATCCCATACATTCTGAGTGGCGTCTGAGATACCTCGGGGGAGGGCTTCCCTGGGGCAGTGAGGGAAGCCAGACTCACCCCATCTGCTCCACACCCGAAGGACAAGGACCTGCCGGTCCCCAGCCCCACCCGTACCTGAATGCTGCAGTGTTCCTATCCCCAGCACTCAGGAGGGCTAGCCCGAGCCAGGCTGGAGCTTAAATCGCTTTGAGCTCAGCACTGGCCAGGTAAGGAGCTGAAGAGCCAGGAAGCCCCAGGAGCCAGGGCTGACTGTGGGAACACAAGCCTGGTGTCCCCCGGAGAGTTCTGCTCAGGACTGCTCATGGGGGAGGAGCTGTCTCTGGGTGTCCGAACCGCCCTCTTCACTGCCTGTGTCATTGGAAAAGAGCACATTTGTGTTTTACTGCTGAAGGTGACTGGAAGGCAGCAGGGACTTGTTCATGTTTATTATTTCTTGCTCCTTTTATATTATCTACCCTGGCTCAGGGGCTCACTGTCACTGGCCTGAGCAGGCCCAGCGAGCCCCGCTGTGGACAGCCCTGGGTCAGACGATGTGGAGCCTCAGGCACAGAGGGTCCTTGCACAAGGGCTGGCTAGCGGCGGCTGTGCTCCTCAGAAAGCCAGCCCGAGGTGCATTTTCAAGGGGGCTTTCCATCACTTCCCCGAGCATGGCTTGTCACTGCCGAGACCCCTCTTTAGTACTGTCCTAGGGACTGCTATCTTTGGTTTTTCAGAGCAATTGGCATAGGGCCTACCTTTCTACACTGGGCTTCTGTGCGGTAAAAAGGGGCGTGTGCTCGTGCACACACCTGTGCAGTGATTTCACTTCGAGGCAGGTCAGGGTGCGGAGGAAAGGCTGAGGGGAGGATGCACAGGTGGCTGTCACAGACGTGCCACCGGGCAGAAGCTGGGGGTGGACGCTGTGATTAAGATGCAGCTTCTGAAGAGGGGAGCTGACCCTTGAGCACAGTCTCATATTCTCTCTTATCTTGGTCAAAACATCTTCCTTTTCCTTTTGTCACTGTTCCCCAGCTTGCAGTTTGTAAAGAGATTAGTAGACCCTTCTTCCTGCCTCGGTTTCCCTCTATAAGGCCCCGCCCACGTAGGGTGCTGGGTTTGGATTCAGTGGTGATGAAGGACCCTTATTTATGGGCTCTGCTAGGCCCACCTCCCCCTTGGTCCTGGGCTCCCCTCACACACACCCCTCAGGAGCAGCCTCCTGACTGCTGTTTTCACGTGAATGTGGCCTATCTTTCGGTCCCCCAGGCTTCCCCTTTCTGGTGGACCTTCAGGTTGACCTTACCTGGGATGCTGTTCTCACCTGGGACCGCCCCCGTGGTTGGACAAGACTTGCACCTTGGGGACTGGGGGTTTAGCTCAGCGGCACAGTGCCTGCCTGGCAAGTGTGAGGTCGTGAGTTAGATTCCCTGTACTGGAAAAAAACCAAAAAAAAGACTTGCACCTGTTTGTCTGGGGACCATGCTTCCCAAGGCCAGGACATCCTGCTTGGAGGGCAGTTTGGGAGGTGACTTAGATGAAATGTTGGGTTAGGGTGTGTGGGTGATTTATGAGAATGCAGGGGCCAAATGCATGAAGTCTAGAAGTTCACATCCATCGACTATTTGAAGACCCTGCTGTCCAGGTCTGCAGATTCCTTCCCTTTATTCTTAAGCTGATGAGTCACCAGAAGTGTATCTGTTCATAGCTGCAGTTATACAGTGCTTAATATGTGCCAGCCACAGTGCTAAGGGTTTGTATCCATTCCCTTCTAGTCCAGAAGCCTTTTGATGAGATAGTGCTGTCTCCATTTTACAGATGAGGAAGCAGGCTCTGCCACGGTGGCTGAGGGCAGCGCTAAGCAGGCAGACTCGGCCCCACCAGCCCCTGGCCTGGAGCTCCTGGCCTTCTGCTCCTGCCTAGCTGAGTGCAAGGGTGGTTGTAAGGATTTAATGAGATAATGCGTGAAAACATCTAGCACGGTGCCTGGCACATACAAGTGCACAATAAATGATTGTTATTCTTGTTGAGCTCAGCTGGTCATTTGACCCACACTGGTATAATGCCAGAAAGTGGGCTCCCAACCACCACCCTGCACACAGCCTGGTGTTCACAGTCTGGAAAGTGACCACACCATCCTTTTGAGAGAAGCAGTGCAGTTATAACACTGTGGCATGTTGGTGCCTCACACAGCATTGGGGAAGAGGACAGGAGGGTGCATAGTCTGTGCTTAGCGGGCATGGCCTGCCCCAGCGTGGTGCCCACTTCCTGTGCATGTGGTCTGACCCAACTGCCCCCCCACCCCCCTGTTTCCACTTCCTGGGGTGCCTGCTCTCTGTGGACTGCAAGGGCCTATGACTTGCTCTGGGCGCCCCTCTCCTCCTGCTCCCAGGCCGATCAAGGGCCACGCTCTGTGCACGCCGCTCAGGAGCCTGCAGTTCCCTGTGCAGTAGATGGTTTCAGGAGCCTTCTAGAGAAGAGAGAACGGGACCTGCCGTGGCACGGACCACCGACCAGCAGCCAGGAGTGTGCCCACTCCCTTGCCCCTAGCCTGGGGTCTTCTGTTCTTTCCTTTATTCTTTCTTAGAAGTGGTAACAAGATAGAGTGTGAGATAGCTGAGGGCGGGGCATGCTGTGTTTCCCTTGGGTTCTAGGTGAGCCAAGAGTGGAAGTGACTTGGGAGTGAGCAAAGAACAGGCTGTAGACCGAGTGAAAAGTGCCCGTCTTAGTCTTCTGACTGGAGACCAGCTTGCGAAAGGCACGCGAGGAGGACTGCCTGTTGGAGGAATGGCTTTGGCTAACAGCACCCACGGGATTTTTAAGGCAGTGGAGTACTAGTAAAAGTCAGAACTACTGCCGTGACGGTGGATTATTTCCTGGAGCTCAGAGGCCCACTGCTGGAATCTAAATCACCACCTCTCCCCTAGAGTTCGTTACTGAATAATGGCAGGAGTCAGAGAAGGGTGGGGGAGGAAGCCCCGCAGGGACAGCCTCATCTGGGCGGGCCTGCCCAGAAGGTCCTCTTGCTTTCCTGGACCGGGGTTCTCCAGCCCTGGTGCTTCCTGCCTCCCTCACTGTGCCATCTAAGTGACCCAGGCAGCCTGGTGTGGTGGCACACGCCGTAAACCCAGCACGTGGAAGGCTAAGGCAGGAGGATTGCTGAGTTTGAGGCCAGCCTGGGCCATATAGTGAGACCCTGTCTTAAAAACTGAGCGACTCAGGCAGCTCTTTATCTGGAGAGAGGGAGGCTCCCCATGGGCTGGGGACAGGGGCTGGCCGTCCACACAGTGTTCTCTCTGGCATCGGGACCTGCCCTGCATAGAGCGTGCAAGAGGGCTGGCACCTGCCCCCATGAAGCTGCTTGCCGGTGTCACCCACCGGCCATCTGCCCTCCGCTTCTGGAGAGCCCCTTCCTCACCCCGTCAGGTCCGCATACTGCTTTGCTGGGCTTTTCCCAAAGCAACACCAGAATAGAAAGGGGTTCCGGGTGTTTCCTGGCAGACAAAAGCTGTGCGCGTTTCTGGGACTGTGTCCTCTAGGTCACGCTGATTGCACTTGCTTCTGTCTCGTCACTCGTCACACGTCACACGGGCCGGGGAGTGGCGCTGGTTCCATGGGGAAGGAGCTGAGCAGGCACCAGGCTGATGGACCAAGGCACTCGGAGGTGAGAGAGCAGTGAGGGGCTGAGAGGCAGTGATTTGCTGTTGTCTGCTGAGGGGTCTGGGAAGCCCTGGGGCAGCGGCGGGAGGCGCTCCCTGAGGACTCACTGCCCGAGGCCAGCCAAGTCTCTGTGGGTGTGGGGCTGAGAAAATGGCTCAGGAAGTGCATCCAAGGAGACTGGGAGCTCATGGCTTACCTGCCAGCGTCAATGCTGAGGCCACATTTAATTTTTATTTATGTTTAATACCTTCTGAATCAGGAGGGTGACGTCGCGTCAAAGCTGGGGAGGCAGGGCGGAGCACACCCCTGTTTGGAGGGCGGGTGGAACTCACTTTCTCACAGATGGACAGTGCTGACACATGGTTTCCTCTTCTCAGACCTGTGGGTCCTTCGGGTTTCCCCAGGTAGGCGTGTGTGTGTGTGTGCCCTGCTGTGCCATTTACCCACCTTGGCATTCTTTAAATCAGTGTTTTTGCCACAGCTGACCTTCCTGCGCACTTCTGATCAATGTGGAACAGTACACATAGGCTTTTTCAATGCAGTGTAAGAACATGACGCGCTGTACTGGAAAGTATTTACCTATTTATATACCCGAATGTTCCTACTACACAAATAAACATATACTGAATTCTGGCTCGTGTGTGATTTGCAGTGGGGGGAGTGCATTTTGAAGGCTGTGCTGACATGGGGTCACCGCTGTGGAGCCAGCGTTGCTTCCCGGGTGGTGCTGACCGCTCCCCACCTCCAGAGACCCCTCTGCCCTTGGCCTTGGCCACAGCTCTCCTGGTGTTGCTCCGCGTCCTGCTGTGCTCCTCGGCCGCCTTCCTTCTGGTCCTGCCTGCCCGCCTCTATGTGGCGGCGGTCCGCCCTGGCCTCTCTCCCGGCTGCAGTCTCTCTCAGGTGTTCCCGTCTGCTCCGAGGGCTCGATCACCAGGCTCCCTTCCGCACCACTCAGTCCCGGCCTCTGTCCCACGTGGGCATGACGCCTCTTTTGGAGGACGCTGCAAGAGGAGACCCATAGCTTTTTCTGCACCTGTCCCGGATCTGTTCTGCCGCACAAGCAGTAATTAGGCGTGAGCTCACCAGCCCCAAGGCCTGACTGCTCCGCTTTCTGCATGGCCTCAGCTGTACCCTGACTGCTGGCCACTGGGGCCAGGCCTTTTTCTCCTACCACAATTTCTGTGGCAGCCTCTGGCGGTCTCCCTGCAGCACGACCGCCTCT